ATTAAATCAAATTATGTATATGAAATTATATAACTAAATGATATGAAATGATATGTATATGAATTAAATAACTGTAATTACAGATTTAGGTTAAATAAAGATGTCAGTCTTTATTTAATTTTTTTTAGGAAACAAATCAAAGAAAAAAATAACATTCTACTGTTCCTAATATTCTGTATGTTGCTCAAAAACAAAATATATTGTGTTCAGTGGAAAAAAGTTTTTTTTATTTTTTTTACCCAGTAATTTAAAAATAACTGGGTAAAAGGTTATCATACCGGCCCATGCCTACACGTAGCCTATCTTTCAGCAGCACATGTATCTGTCAGAGCATCTGACTGGGCAAGATGCTTTAACCCTCTGGGGTCCGAGGGTGTTTTGGGGCCTGGAAAAGTTTTGACATGCCCTGACATTTGTGCTTTTTTCAGTTGCTTACAAACATTTGAATGTCTAAAGTAAGACACTTTTTGTGTAGAAAAGGTATATGCGAGTAGGCGTGAATGATCATGAATAATGCTGTGATTCACACCTGAGAAGACAAAGGCCTGCATAATGAGCTGCATAATGAGCTGTCAGGTGTGTGACTGAGAGGGAATTGCTACAAGAAAGAATGTGAGGAAAAAAGACATTTATATATTTTTTGTTTGTAGTTTATTTAGAATACATATAACTATCACATAAAATAACTCATGGGAGTGTGTGCATCACATGGTCTTAGCTGTGGTCCAGGTTCTTGTGCAGGCAGGAATCCCCATTTCCATGACCAAGTGGGCTGCTTTGCTTTGGCTCTCTTTGCAACAGGTTCTTTTACACTGTTATTCTCACATCTGAAAAAAAAGCATGCTGTTTACACAAACTACACTATTAACATTATTATGATGTTCACTGATACTAGTACTAATTTATCGAAACAAAGAACACAATTACCACATAGCAAACATAGTTTACCATACAGCAAATAAATCAAATGAAAGTAACATCTGTAAAATAGTGAATGCACACTTACTCTAAGATTCTGAATGGAGTTGAAAACTGAACGAGCGTCCCCTTACTGTGAGAGATACAGGTGAAGGCAAGAGTGGTGTATTCAGTCCTAAAAGAATTTTATAAACAATTGTAAGCACTTTTTCCCCACAGTACCTTAGTATAGGTATATATATATACCGTAGTGTATATATTATATATTCATGAGAAAACAGAATGCCAATAACAAAGAAACTACATTTTAACACTATCAACCACAAATAATATTACCATATAGTCTAGGCATAATAAAAGTACAATTACTATACTGTGCACTTACTCAGTATGATTTTCCAGCGAACTCAAAACTGAACGACACATGTGCCTTTCTTGTGCAATTATGCCAGTGATGCAGCCACAGTCCTAAACAAAAATTAAAACAGTTTCAAACATTTCAGCATCATTACTCCAGTCTTCTGTGTCAAATGTTTGTTCAGAAATCATTCTGATATTCTGATTTGCTGCTCAAAAACATTTATTATTATTACTATTATTATGCTGAAAACAGCTGAGAAGAATATTTTCAGGTTTCTTTGATGAATAGAAAGTTCGGAAGAACAGCATTTATCTGAAATAGAAATCTTTTGTAACATTATAAATGTATTTATCTTCACTTTTGATCAATTTAAAGCATCCTTGCTAAATAAAAGTATTAATTTCTATTATTTCTTCCCCCACCAAAAAAACTTGTTACAAAAGCTTTTTATTTCAGATAAATGCTGATCTTTCTATTCATTGC